GATAGCGTGTTTGTGCCATCTAGCATATTCTTTACGTACCACCATGACCTATAGAATTAAGTAGATGCCGCTATTAAAATTTTATATACTGAAGGACTAAAGGAAATGTCACATTAAAAAAGATTGTAACAATTATTTGCTATAAAATTAAACTTATACCTAGGTATCTCATATTTTATGCTGCCGTTCAAAATGATATTTTTAACTCGTATAGTAATATAAATATTGAATTATTAAACCTTTAAATACGCCTAGTATAATTAAACTTTAATACTAAAGAGTCCTGTACCTATTAAGGTATGAAGAAATGTTTATTGAATTAAAATTTCATTTTTAAAGGTTTTACCTTTTCCTCGCCGATTAGCACTTTAACACACTTCAATCCATCACATCACTATTATCCTCCCATTTTCACTAAAATCTTTGAAAAATCATACATTTTTAACAGACACAACAAAAACAAACATAAACATTGAAATGTGAAGTGAACTTGCAAACGTATCCCTCGCACGCCGCGCACTCCTAAGCACCTTCAGAGCAAAGCCCAGCTTTTAGTTTCATAATAATTGCTATATAAACATTTCGTAGTTATATTTCATTATAGAAAATTTTGCCACAGGTTAGAAAGGGGGCGATCGTCTTCTCGAAAGCCTTCTTAAAAAGCCAATGCGTGCGAGAGAGTGGAATAAATCAACTCCTTAATCTTGACAGTCCATTGTGTGTTCACTTTGAGACAGAGATAACACGAATTAGTAAGTGTATTTCAAATTGAAAGCAAACTGCTAGAGTGGGCTACGTGGTCACGACCTGTCTATAACAGAGGAGCGCGCGGGAAATTTGAAATAGTTTAAAACAGTTTACGAGTTATTTTATTAGTTGATATTATTGATTGAGCAGTTTGATAGGGCAAGCCTGGCTTCTGGGCTTTTATGGAGGCTTTGCCACCTCCACCACTGTACGTACTACGTCACTAGGAGTTTTCTTCTGCGTATAACCTCTCTATGGAATAGTTTACCACCGGCGATTTTTCCAGACCGATACGACCTAGGGACCTTCAAGAAAACAGCTTATAATATTATAATAATAAAAGCCTTTTATTCAGACAATGTTAATTTATACTTCCTCCACATATTTTTCTTTTTATAGACTAATTTTGCTTCAACATCCCTGTCTGTGTGCCTCTTTTGACAAAGGTCTCCTCCAACTGTGACCATTTTTCTCTTTCATCAGCCACTCTTGTCCATGTGCCACCTGCAACAGCCTTTATTTCATCGATCCATCTTATGGATGGTCTTCCTCGTTTCCTTCTCCTGTTTCTTGTGAACCAGAACATTATTGTTTTTGACCATTTTTCTTTGCCTCTAATTGTATGCCCTATCCATTTCCATTTTAGTTTTCTTATGGTTACCATAATGTCCCTTGTTCCGGTGTTTCTTTATGGTTGTAGTTGTTCTTTTATCTTTCAGTTTTTTGCCCATCATACTCCTTTCCATAGCATTTTGGCACACTGCAAGTTTTCTGTTGAGAGATTTAGTAAGTGCCCAGGTTTGGCAACCATATGTCAATACAGGCAGTATACAAGTGTCAAACAGTTTCCGCTTGATGGTCATACTTATTTCTCTGTTTTTCATAATCTCTTTCAGACTCCAATATTGTTTCCATGCGTTTCAAATGCGTCTATCAATTTCTTTTGAAGTTGCATCTGTTGGCGAGATTACTTGACCCATATATACATATTCAATTTTCATAATCAATTTTGCTGTTGTTAACACATATAGGTTCTTTCCTCCCATTTGTCATGACTTTTGTTTTTTGTTCATTCATGACTAATCCCACTCTACGACTTACAATGTCTAGGTCATTTAGCATTGCCTGTAGTCCCTCTGCCGATGGTGAGAAGATTATCAGATCGTCTACAAATCTTAAATGCGACAGATTTTCTCCGTTTATTGATAGTCCGCATTTCTCCCAGTTCAGGTGACGGAAAATCTCCTCCAGAACAGCTGTAAAAAGTTTGGGTGACATGGGGTCGCCTTGGCGTACACCTCTTCCTATTTTTATTTCCTTGCCTTCTCTTTCTAGTTGGATTCTAGCTTTGCTGTTTTTATATATGTTTTTTATTATTCTTATTTATTTATTTTCAATACCCTGGTTTTTAAGCGCTTGCCAGATCTCTTCATGTTCAAGTGAGTCAAAGGCCTTACTGTAATCAACAAAACCGCAGTAGAAGGTTATATTAAATTCCTTACCTTTTGCAAATAGTTGTTTTACCACATGTATATGGTCTAATGTCGAGTAACCACTTCTAAATCCCGCTTGTTCTCTCGGTTGATTAGCCTCTAGCGTTTTGGATATTCTGTTAAGAATTACCTTGGCAAAAACTTTGTCGATGTTCGACATTAAGCTAAGAGGCCCATAATTATTTATATTATTCTTATCTCCTTTCTTGTGTAGCAGTATTATGTTTGACATTGTCCACTGATCAGGTAATATCTCACTCTGCAGTACTTCGTTGAATAGGTATGTCAGGATTGGTAAAAGGTGATCTTTATTTTCAATAAGAAATTCGTTACTGATTCCATCTGAATCGGGAGCTTTATCTTTCTTTTGAGTTTTTACAGCTTTTTCCACTTCTGCAGGTATTATATCAAGTACTTCTTCTCCGCCCGCTAGGTCTGTTGTTTGACTGTTGCTTTTATTTGCATACAACTCTCGGAAAAAGTTTGTGGCTATTGAGATAATTTCGGGGCGTCTGGTTTCATAATTGCGGTTTCTATCTGTGATACTGGGTATCCACTCTATTTTTTCCTTAAATTTTTTGAATGCTTTTTTGGTGCCTCCGGTCTCTTGTATACATCTTTCTATTAATTCTAACCTGTGTCTTTGGCGATCTCTTCTCATGTTAGATTTGATTTTCTTACTTAAGTCAGCTATATCTTTCCTTGATTCTTTTGTTTTTTGGGCCATCGATGTTAGTATGGCTCTGTTTCTTAACAATTCTTTGGTTTCATTTGTTAGCCATTTTATCCCTTCTTATCTACTACTAGGGTTACTCTTCACTCTTGTAATTAATAGTTCTTCGAATTTGTTGTATTTGGTTTTAATATCTATATCCTTTGTGTTTTCTATAAAATTTTCTAATTTTTCTTTTAGCCTTTCAGTATTTTCTAGAATTGTAATGTTGCTTTGCTTTACCTTAAAAGGTCTGTTTCTCTTAAACATCTGGAGACGAAGCTTGGCTGACCATTCTATGGTTGCTGTTGGAGTTTAGGTTATTTATGACTCTACAATCAGTGAAATCATTACTTTTATTAGTTAGCATATAATCTATCTCATTTCTATATCGGCAATCTGGAGATTTCCAAGTCCATCTGTTATTATCTCTTTGTTTGTATAGGCTGTTAAGTACTTTCAGGTTATTTTCATATGCCATTTGTATGAGTTTCTCACCATTCCTTGTTCTCTTTCCTGAACAATGTGGACCCAATACCGTCTCTTCTCCATAGCCTCTGCTTCCCGTTCTTGCGTTGAAATCGCCCATAACTATCAAATTATTGTAGGTATAATTTTTATTGCTTCTGTTAACATAGAGTAGAATGAGTCAATTTCAACACTACTGGACTATTCAGTTGGAGAGTAAATTTGTATGATTGACCACTTTGCGTTTTGGGCGGTAATTTTAAGTTGAGTATAATACGTTCAGATAACCCTATGAATTCGTCAATGTAAAGTTTTAATTCTTTTTTGACCAAAAATCCTGGTCCAGATTGACCTGGTGTATCTCCTTTAGAATATAAAATAAAGTCGCCATAATCCTCAATATTCTCACCTAGGCGTCGAATTTCACTCAGTCCTACTATCGACCAATTAATGTGTTCCAATGCTAGTATCAGCTCAACTAGGCTTTCATTGGTTCTTAGAGAGAGGGTATTGTATGTTGCTACATTAATTATATTGTTATTTTGACGCGGTGTTTTAGAGTGCACCTGTGCTTCAAGTTTGAGTGGGTCATTTGAAGGGTAGTGGTCTTCTTCCCCCACTGTGACTTTCACAAAATTTGGTTTTGATAATGTTATTGATTCCGGGTGTCGATGGCAGTTATCAGTTTTTTGTAGTGTCTGACAGTGAAGCTGACCTTCCTCTCTCAACATAATTCAATATATTGGGTCATATAATTTCTTTTTCGGTGGTTTTGGTTGATGGATATATTGAATTATTACGTTCAATTAAAAAGAGCTTACTCCTTTCTAAATGCACTATAGCATTTGTCATTGTATCATCTTACATTTTAATTGTAAAAGAAAGTAGTATAAACACCTATGTACATTCCACAGCTTGGCTTAAGCTGAAAGGATTGTTGAACAATTTTTCACTGTGCTGCTCCAGAATGTATCAGTATACTTCAAAATGCTCACAAAATATTATAATTCACAGACATGGATGTTTCCTCACAATATTCTTTACATCACTGAGCACTTTCGACAAAAAAAAAGAGTAAATAACAATAAATACTATAAGTTTTTAAGAGAAAACTCAAAACCAGCTGCTCATGATGCTTTTACTCTATTTTTAGTTATAGTTGCATGGTTAATGAACTAGGTGTTCTAGAAGGTTACCATTTATTCACTTACATCAATATCTGGCAGATCTTATTGATTGATCTGGCAGAACAATATTTTATATAATATCCATTTTTAATTCATTAGTACAGTCCTCTGCTGATCAAGTCAAGTCAATGTGAGGAAGTCTATGCAGATGGTCATAGACCTTCTCCACAGATTGTTGCTTTATAGTAATATATAGGGTGTACATGATATTTACCATAGTTACCACACTTGGCAACCAACAGTTTTTAATTTAAATTGTTAGGAAACTGTTGCTGCCTATCTCCTGTTTCATTTCCCTCCGTCATCTCATATGACAATCAGGGGTAATGGATTCTCTTATGTTGTCACTACATAGTGAAAATTTATTATACATTATTGGTTAGAATCTAATGCTTAAAACTGAGTATAAATTTTAACTTTGTAATCGTAAGGAAGGATACCCACTGGAGTGCTAGAAGCAGAAACAGCCATACTAGCTAATATACTCAGAATTTTTAACTTTCTCTGGTTTTCCATTCCTCCAAATAACGACAAAAAGATTGTGTTCTTCGTAGTCTCATTACTGCAGGCTGAGAGGTAATCGCAGATAATGTCAATGAGCTGTAACTCCTGTAGCGGATTAAGCCCGCCACTACGCCGGCCTCCGCGTCGGTCTGCATCGCAAAAAACAAATTCTGATATGATCTCCATAGCAATATCCAATTGCTTACTTGTTGGTGCAGCTCTGCCTACTAGCAGTTGCTCTGAAAATAAATGTAGTGTCATAATACTAGGTTCCTACCAAACACAATAAACAACAACAAAAAATCCCTAAATCTTGAAAAAACACATAGTCACCAATTTTAATTAAGGCTTCTTTAGAACATGCTGGAAACTCTAATTTTCGCAAAGAATGTTTTAAGTCAGATAAAGACATTTTTAATTTAAAAACCCACTATTATGAAATTACGATATAAAATCTTGTTTTTGGTTTTATTTTTGACGATTTTTGACATTTGTATTTGTCAGTAATTTCTTTTAACTGGCTTTACGGCTTTGGGTTCTAGCCCTTGTGAGCTTGTTTTGTTACTAATTTTGACAATTGACACAAACTATTAGCACACAGACTACTAAGAAAATACAATGCTTAGAGTAATTAGTAATTACATATGTATACGGATCGCCATAACGCCGTTCGAAAAATGAATAAAACGCGTTGTTCTTGCTTATATAGGAGGCAAGCGGCGGTGAGGAGGAACTTGTACTTTTTTTCTTCTTGTAGTGCCTTTTCAGTGGCTGGAGAGCGACGACGGACCCTATTTTTTTTTTTGCGCCCGAAGCAAATATGGGCAACCCTCCGGAAAGCGGGGGAGGGAGGTTGAGAATGCTCATAGCATACCACGCAGCCGGCTGCGTGGTTATGTGGAGACTTTTACCCACTAAACTCAACCTTTTGGTAATTGGCTTAACGATCTGACTAGAGATCTCTAAGCCGTATACGAACGCGACCCTCCTTGGCAGAAAGGAGGGCGCAGCAGAAAGGAGGGCGCAGCAGAAAGGAGGGCGCAACGGACCCTATCGACCGGTCCGTCTTTTATATGATTCGGCCACTGCTGGCCAGCGGACCCTTGCCTCACCCCCCGCGCCTTTCTTTATTTCTTTAAAATTTTTATTTATTAACAAACATATTCAATTATATAATATTTTTATATCTAATTCTTATACTATTATGTACACAATAATTATCTTATACTCTAAAAGGTTTTAAACCTTGTAATTTACAATTTTTAAGCTGAGAACCCTGCCCCGCACCTCAGCACTATAAATATAAAACGTCGTGACGCCCTACGCGTAGCTTCATTAATTCCGCGGCCGCATCACGATAACATGCCCTGATAATATTATAATTATCTTAAGAAAGGTAATTTATATGAATGGTAATATGTATACAATAAAGGTGATATGCAACAAAGGTAAATTAACTATAAGAGTACAATTTATATTTTAAAATCTATGCTAACACTCGTTATTTATTCGATGCCTTTATTGGGAGAGTTATTTGCATAGTTACAACATCATTCTTTCTTTATTATCTTATTCTAAATCTTATATTAATATAAGTTATATATATTTAACAAATGAAATACAATAACCAAGACTACGGCTGTTTTTCTGCGTTGTTGTATGCACCCTCGCTAGTTGTCGAACCTCGCTGGTCGCGACCCCCGTGGCTCCGCCCACCGCCCCTGAGTTGCTCAACCAGTGCTGGTTACACTAAGCAGGTATCTCGTCGCTTGCGTCGTGCATATTCTCCCGCCGTCGCCACGCTGCGATCCCTCTGGTAGCACGACGATCTTCTTTGTTGGTCTGCGTAGTACATGCCCACTGCTAGTGGTTACGTCCACTACTCGTACCTCTCCGTCGACGCCGGGATACACGTTGCTTATTTTTCCCCTGGGCCAGATGTTGCGCGGTAGATTGGAGTCACAAATGATGACCAGGTCTCTAATCTTCGGTGATGCGCCTATGCTGCTGGGCTCCCGCCGGTGTTGGAGTAGGGGCAAGTATTCCTTCACCCATCTTCGCCAAAATACGTCTGCTAGGGCTTGAGCTCGTTTCCACTGCTGGCGGGCCGTCACGTCGCTCTTGCTGAAGTGTCCCGGTGCAGGTACATGTGAGTTGGGACCGATGAGGATGTGATTCGGCGTGATGGCTTCCGGGTCTCCTGGGTCAACTGAGACGTGTGTAAGAGGTCTTGAATTGACCGTGTTTTCGACCTCGGCGAGCAGGGTCACCAGTGTCTCGTCACTGGGATAGCGTTCGTTGAGGGTGACACGTAGGGCTTCTTTCACGGAGCGAACCATTCGCTCCCAGGCGCCGCCCATGAATGGTGCTGATGGTGGTATGTACTTCCACACAATTTGTCGACATGTGGTTTCGTTCTCGAGGGCTGCGAGTGCTGCTTCGGCCAGCTCCTTGTCGGCTGCCTTAAAACACGTAGCGTTATCACTCCAGATTTCTTTTGGGCATCCTCTTCTGCTCATGAAACGCCTAAGCGCTGACACAGCTGAGTCGGCGCTTAACGAATGGGCCACCTCTATATGTATTGCTCGTGACGTCATGCAGGTAAATAACGCGCCATAGCGTTTTTCACGATGTCGTCCCACTGTGACTTCTAATGGCCCGAAGTAGTCCAGTCCGGTGTATGTAAACGGACGTGCGTGATGAGCGAGACGCGCGGACGGCAAGTTTCCTGTAGACGGTGATGCAGGCTTGGCTTTTCTTAGACGGCACGGTAGGCAGCCTTTGATGACAGTTTTTACTACTGGACGTATTTTTCTTATGTACAATCTCTGTCTTAATTCGTTCACGACTGTTTCCACGCCTCCGTGATGTAATCTCTCGTGTACGTGTGCTATGTACAGACGAGTGTATGCGTGCTTCCCGTCTAGTATGGGAGGGTCATACGTGTCCTCCTCTACCTCTGATGCTGCTTTTATTCGACCTCTGAGGAGTAGGGTCCCCTCTTCGTCTATATATGTGCTCAGGTGGCCTAGTTTGTCATCACCTCCTGGAACACTTCTGTTGGCGATCCTCTTGAGCTCCTTCGTGAAGCTTTCCCGCTGACTGGCTTGCACCCACAGTTGTTCGGCTCTTATATGATAAGCGGCTGGTATTCCTACAAGCGATGAGACAGTAGGTGTTGCCCTTTTCTCCTTGGTGGGGTTGTTGCGTCGGTTTGTTCTTTGCCAGCCGGGGTCGCTATCTTGTCTTGCTTTGTTGCGTTTGCGCCCAGCCTTCACCACGTGCTTGTTTGGTCTGCACATGTCGATGAATAGGAGGACTCTCGCTGTCGCCCTTACAAGGCGAATCCATTTTGAAAATCTTTCTATTTGTGGCAGATGTGTTGTTGGCGAGTCTTCATTTTTAACTGTGATGTTACATATTTCTCGTTCTTCTCCGGTGTCGTATTGTGTCGTTTTTTCTTCCTGCGGCCATTCGGCCGGTGGACGTTGTAGAAACGGGGGCCCTCGGAACCACCGGTGCGACTCGTCGAACCTTTCTGGCGTGGTTCGGGTCGCGTCGTCTGCCACGTTTTCTTTGGACGGTAGCCAACGCCATTCGTTCTTTTTGGTCGTATCTTCTATCTCCGATAGGCGATGAGCGACGAAAGCTTTGTACGCGCGGGGCTCCGACCTTATCCACACTAGTGCAGTGCGAGAGTCGCACCAGTATGTCTTGCCCGCTATATCGTCATCGTGCTCACTAATCACGGTCTGCGCAAGACAAGCTCCCAGTAGTGCTGCTTGTAACTCGAGCCGTGGTATGGAGACTGGTTTCAGTGGTGTCACGCGGCTCTTGGCGGCGGCCAATGATATGTTGACGCTGCCGTCTGCTCGCTCCGTTCTCCAATACACGGCGGCTGCGTAGGCCTCCTCGCTTGCGTCGACGAATGTGTGTAGTTGCCGCGTTGACACTGGGTTGTAATCGTAGCATCGCGGTATTCTCAGTTGTTCTAGGGCGTGCAGTGAAGTAATCCAGTCTTCCCATTTTTCTTTTAACTCTATTGGCAGAGGGTCGTCCCATTCCGCCTTGTAACGCCATGTGTCTTGGAATATTCTCTTCGCTGGGGTAGTCACTGGTGATATTAACCCCAGCGGGTCAAATAATGCCATTATTATGCTCAGCGCTTCACGTTTAGTTGGCAAGCGTTGTTTCTCTTTTTACGTCGATCGGCATCTTCATATTGTTTGTATTAAATCCAATATGATCGCTTTGCACATGCCAGAGCAGGCCGAGCGTCTTCTCAGTTTCTTTTCCGCCCAGGCGCACGGTCGCGTCGTTTTGTTTATGCTCTGTCGTTATCTCTTCTATTGTTTTTTCTTCGTTCGATGTCCACCCGCTGAGTACGAATCCTGCTTGTTTGTGGACGTGATCGACTGCTTTTACAGTTTGTTGAGCTTCCGTGATAGAGTGGAAGCTCTGCAAGTAGTCGTCCATATAGTGATTTCTTTTTTATGGCGACCGCAGCTTCGGGGTATGCCTCTGAATGTTCTTCAGCATTTTTATTTTTGATGTATAATGCTGTGCATGGTGATGATGTCGCTCCAAAGATGATCGATGTCATCCTATATTCCTCCGGTTGGCCCTCCCGCCGCTTGCCTCTCCACAACAAACGTAAAACGTCTCTATCTTCTTTGCGCACTTTGATCTGCATAAACATTTCTTTTATGTCGGCGCTCACTGCATACGGATACTGTCGGAACCTCATGATTACTCCGGGCAATGATTGTAATAAGTCCGGCCCCGAGTGAAGCATATCGTTGAGACATATTCCTGCTGTCTTCGCGGCGGCGTCGTGCACCAATCTCGGCGGCTTGTTAGGTTTCGCAGGGTTGATGACTGGGAAGTGTGGCAGATACCATGTCTTTCCTTGTGGCGGTGGCATGGGTGCGCGTTCTGCGTAACCCGAGTTGAAGAGGTTCTGTATGCGTTCTTCGTATTGTAGCTTGAGATTGCTGTCTCGGTCGAGCCTCTTCTCTAAAGTGTGCAGACGTCTTTCCGCGTCTTTGTAATTATTTGGTATTTGGAAATCCTTTTCTTTCCACAGCAACCCTGTCTCGAATCTGCCGTCCGCCGACCTTCTGCTGGTCTCCCTCAATATTTGCATAGCTCGCTGCTCGGGATCTTCTTTCGGTCTTCTTAGCTCGATGCACAGTGATTCTAATTTGAAATAATTTTTTATTTCTTCTTCTATTGGCTGTGCTTCTTCCCTTTGATGTAGTCTGCCGCAGAAGGTGACCGTCGATGTAAATGAGCTATGACAGCCATGTAGAACCCAGCCCAGGTTGGTGTATGAGGCGACTGGTTGATCTCGACGACCGACGCGCAGTTTTCTAGACACTATGAGGTGCCAGTTATCTTGCCCGATTAGTA